TATGAAGTAAGTTACAACTTACGATATGCAGGGAACTTCATAATTAGTTAGGACCCCATTTGAAGGAGCTAAGATGAATTGGGTTTCCCAAGAGGGCCAAGACAGGTCACATGGTAACTCATTAACTCCATCTTTTTTCATAATGTTTAATTTCTCCCAAATTGTTCAAGAACAAATTATGATAAGAAGGGCAGCAAAACTTTAATAAGGGCTTCAAATTAATCAAACTGGTGTAATATATAGAATGCATTTGAGAGGTTCGTTCTCCAACCAAAACAAATGAAGCAAAATATGAAACAAAGATCTAAGAAAACTCACGCTTTGGAGGCAGCATAAATAGTGTAAAGAGGGTAAGAAGGGAGGATCTCAGAGGAAGCAGAGCCAATGTTGACAATTGCTCCTTTCTTCTTCTTAAGCATAATTGGAAGCACTGCCTTAGTCACCCAAGTGGCCCCCTCTATGTTCACCTTCATAGTGCTCTCCATCAGCTCCAAATCAACCTCATGAAAAAACCTCGCATAAGGGTAAGCCACCCCGGCATTATTAATCAAAATTCCAACATCAAGGCCTTTTATTCCTTCCTCTATGGCATTTCCTATCTCCTCCCCACTGAACTTGGCCAAGTCAATGACAATGTTCTTAATCTGAATTTGCCCACCATATTTTTCATGTAATTCAGTGGAGGTAGCTTCAAGCTTTGAAGGGTTTCGACCAACCAAGACAAGGTTAAGACCCTTTGAAGCAATTTCAAAGGCAAGGGCTTTTCCAATTCCATCAGTGGAGCCCGTGATGAGAGCCCATGAGCCATAGTTCTTGAGATTCTTTGGGGGTCTCAGAAACATGACCCATACCCATCTGAGAAAACTGATGATGGGTTTACAAAGAGAGATGAAGCCTATAGTGCTAGTTGCCACTATGAAAATTTCTTGGAATTCCATTGCCAGAGTTTCAGTGGAGAAATTGGTAGGGCTTGGTTTATCAGTCAGAAGGCGTGAGTGCAACAAGAATTAAAGAGGGCAAGGAGAAGGAGTCTCAGACCCAAGAAAAATAATAATTAAAATAAAAATAAAAATCTAATGGTGTTGTAAAATAAACGAGATACGCTAGAATATTGAGCTGCACGTAAAGTAAATGAGACACAACATTTAACGAGGTTCGGCCATGCCTATGTCCTCGGAGAGCAACAGCAGTAACTTTTCCACTATGTAAAATAATAGGGCTACAACTTTAGTGTTTACAATATATGTGGCTCACTGATTTTTCTCTCTTG